AATCCCCCTTGTGCTGAGGGGCATTGTCCCTTCTGAAACCAGAGTAACCAGCCACACCCACGACGCCAGCTGTGGGCCTGAGTTGCTTGGCCAGGCTCACCCACTCACCAGGAGCCTGCCAGGTTTGCTGAGTCACCTGGCATCTCCCATGGACACCTGACTCTCTGGCCAAATCCTGTCACTACCAGGTTCCCCGGGAGTCTGGGTGCAGCATCCTGTGGCCACCTTGTGGCCAGGTGTCCCCCTTAGAGTCCTCTAAGTGTCCCCCTTACAGTCCTGCCTTAGTGGGGACAGGCTCCACGTGCCAGCCACTGCAGCCTTGCTCAGAAGCAGGGTACCACTCGGTTGCCAAGGCTTCCTGCAGCCTGTGTTTCCATGGAGGGACAGAAATCAGAGAAGGCTGTTGCCTTGGAAACCCTGTTGGCAGCAGTGACTCAGCTCATCTGTAGCCACCTCTGCCCTCCAAACCTGCAGTCCTCCTGGGAGTTCTGAGCCCTGACCAGGGCAGGTCTGGGGGGACAGCAGCCCTCCCTTGCATACCGCCCACTGCCCGACCCCGGGGCTGCTGGGGTGAGAACAGCAGGTCATGCCTGTAGTGTGCTAGGCTGGTGCCCGGCGTGTGCTTGGAGCTCAGCGCGTGCGGAAGAGTCCTGAGGTGTGTTTTACCCGCAGGTGACATGGGGGAGGGGTGTCAGCCAGGCCAGGCTGCCAAGTCCCCAGAGCCCTCCTCCCCCACAGCCCTGGCAGGTGCAGAGGACAGACGACGACAAGCAGCTGGTGCTTTCACAGGCGGCCTGTCTCCACCAGGCAGATCGATGAGTTAAAAGATGGTTGGATGTTCCAGGCCTTTCTCCACCTCCTCACTTGCAGTCCGGCACATCTTGGGGTGGGGGGGGAATTTTCCTCTTTTCCCTCACACCTGTTATACCTCCCTACACCCCTCCCCTCCCTGGCTCCGCCTGCCGTCACCTCTGCAGCTCCACCCTGCCCTGCCTACCCACTGCAGCCATGGGCAGCACATTTGCTCTTAGCTCCAGGCGTTTGCCTGTGCTGTGGAACATTCTCCCACATTCCTTGTGCTTGACCAGCTCACTTCTCACCTTCCTCCTGACCTTCACCAGGACAGTTCCAGGCGCTGCTCCTCAGGGTTTCTGCAGCACACTGACCGCTGTGCTGTGGGAGCTGATTCTCCCTCCAGACACGGAGGGCCAGTCCCATGCGCTGTTTGCACCTGGGCCCCAGCTCCTGCCCGGAGCCTGGCACAGAAGCATTTGGTGAATGAGGAAATGAACCATCGGACGCAGGCTTGGCTTGTACCCCGTCCTTCTCTTGCACCCAAGTCTTTGCTGGAGGTGGCTGCCAGTTTCTCTTCTGGGGTTCGGGGCTCCTCTGGCCCTAGGACTTTAGGGCACTGACCTCATGCTGCCCCCTAGTGGTGCTCAGGCATACTGCCTTGGGAGATGTGACTTCAGGACTCCTGCTAAGACCTCTCAGATGTCTGAGGGCAGGAACCGCAACTGATTTATTTTTGTTGACAGGGCCAAAACCAGAAGAGATGCTTGGTAAATATTTAAACAAATGAGCTAACTACTTTGAAATGTGAGAGTTGCATTAACTGTGCAGCTGGAAAATGCTGTCACCAGCGTGTGGGACGGCCCTCACCATACCTCAGTAGTCAAATGACACTTGCCGTGCACTGGCTGTGCACCCGTCCCTGTTCTAAGCACTTGCCTTCTACTATTTAAAACTCTGCACAGCCCAGAGGGGTAGGAACTATTATCATCTTCACTTCTAACAGATGAGGAAACCAGGAGACCCAGAAATTGAGTAAGTTGCATGAGGCTGGGTTAGCTCCTGAGACTATGCCCTTAATCAGCCACCTTGCTGCCTTTTTGCCCCCAAAACAAGAACAATAATGGTAGTAGTAAAAGTAGTCATAGTAGTAGTAATGTAGTTATCTTATTTATTTTATTACAATGTTGTTTCATTATTACCTTTGTTTATAATTAAAATATATATGGCCGTATATAATGTTTACTATGTTCGGGGCACAGTTCTAAGTATCTAAGCATTTAGATGCATTAACTAATTTAATCTTCCAGCCGCTTTATGATGTTAGGCACATTTGTTATGCCCATTTTGCAAATGAAAAAACTGAGATACAGAGGGGTTAAGCGACTTGCACAGGATCACCAGGTTAGCAACCACCCCAGTTAGCAGCTGGGGTTCAATCCCTGGCAGTCTGGTTTCAGAATCTGCACCCTTAAATATACAGAAGAAAGAGACTCTTGGCCAGTAAGTTGAGGCCAGCGTCTCTGGCCTGAGGGCACGCCCGCTTGCAGAGGACATGAAGACAAAGCGTACAATATCTGATGGTGCTTGTCGGACTGGCCCAAAGTCAAGCCAAGGAGGAAGGAAGCCCCACTGAGCTCTCTGCCAGCCCCTGCCAGCCTGTGTGACCTTGAGAAAGTTGCTTGGTCTCTCTGTTCACTCATCTTCCCTTTGGTGTAATAGGGCAAGGTGGATGGATTTTTGTAGGAGTTATGACAATCTTTGGGGTATTCATTAGCAAGAAGCTTAGCTTCTTTGCCTGGAAGGGTCAAGGGGAACTTTGGTTCATCTCTCACCGCCTTCCAGGTTGACTGTTAAATTGGGGGAGGAGAACCCTCATCTCCAGAGCCATTTCCTCGGGGTGGGACAGCTGATTCTGCAGGGTTTGAGGGATGGCAGGACCAGCTATCTTCTGACTGTCCCTCCTCTCCTGCTTGCCAGGCTGGGACACGATGCATGAATGAGCCATCCTTCCAATGCCTTTTTGTCTTTTCTGATCCAGGTGTGGCAAAGGGAAGCTGGAAGATGGGGATAGTATCAACCTGAATGACATCGAGAAGGTCCTCCCGGCCTGGCAGGTAGGTTCAGGGGCAGATTCTCTAACACTCTGCCCCACCTTTGGAGTCCTGATCCTCTGCCTGGGCAGGGCCTGAGCACTCCTGCTGGCTCTTTGCTCCAGAAAGGGGCACAACCACATGTTTGGCAGTGGCAGGTGGGCAGGGATAGGTACCTGCCATGGTCCAGGGTGTCCCATGGTGACAGGTGTGTGGCAGCCTCTCTTGGTGATGCTATGGGCACTGGTGGCAGGCCTGACATCCTCGACGGATGAAATGGGCCATGCACTAGCAACTCAGAGAACTGGGAAGTTTTTGTCCCTTGACCTGAAACCTCTGCAGGTGAGGCGTCCTGCAGTGAGTTCAGGTGGGACTGGCAGGGCTGTTGGGGTTTCTAATGTGGTTGGGGCGATCTTTAGACTTCTGAAAAGTGGAGCTGTCCTGCCAGCCTCCAGGTGTGTACTGTGCTTGCTGATTTTGACCTTGACTGGTCTATATTCCCGGAATTGGGCCAGGCTCCAGGTCAAAGTGGATTCACTCAGCAAAGATGCAGTGAATCCAGGTCTCAAGATGCTTATAATGCTGGACTTCCAGTGGGAACAGCAGGAATCTGGCTGCTCCCAGGGATGGGGTTGGGCTTGCCCCACAGGGTGAGAGCACAGGACCCTCTGCAGTGACTGAGCCTGCCGCTGCTGGTGACCCACCACCACACTAACCTGCCACCCTTCCCTTCCTCCCTGAGTCTATCTTGTCATTTTACCTACATCTATTCCTCTCTTCCTGGTGCCTTTCCCATTGTGTTTCTTCTCTGTTCATGCCTTGGGCCTGTCGATGAGAGATAATAGACCATATGGTTAAGGCCACAGCAGTTTGATTATAATGCGCCTTGGTGTGAATTTTTTTTTTTTTCATGTTTCACCCACTTGGGATTTATTGAGTTTTTTTTGGATCTGTAGGTTTATAATTTGATCAAATTTGGAAAATTTTCAGTCTTTATTCCGCCCCCTTCCCTCAACCCTGGAGTTCCAATAATAGGTATGCTGTGCTTCTTCCTGTTTTCCCATGGAGCACCAAAGCTCTGCTTATTTTTAGACAATCTTTCTTTTCTCTCTGTATTTCATTTTGGATAGTTTCTGTTGCTGTGTCTTCAAGTTCACTAATCTTTTCTTGCAGTGTCTAATCTACTCTTAATCCTATCTGGGGTATTTTTTATTTCAGATGTTGTAGTCTTTATCTCTAGAAGTTCAATGTGGATCCTTTTTAACGTATCTTTCATTTCTTGTGCTTTCTCCTCTCTCCCAAAGCATATGAAACCATTTCTAATGGCCATTCTAATGTCCTTCTCTGCTAATTCGTCATCGATGTCATTTCAGAGTCTGTTTTTATTCATTGATTGTTCTGGTTATGGGCCATATTTTTCTTTGCATGCCTGATAATTTTGTATTAGAGGCCAGATGTTAGGAACTTTACGTTGTTGGGTGCTAAAATTTTTTTTTAAGTTTCTTTGAATATTTGGGGTTTTGTTCTAGAACACAGGGGGTTAAGTTACTTAAAAGTAGTTTGAGTCTTTCAAGAGTTGCTTTTAAGCTTTCTTAGGGCAAGAAAACTTCCATCTAGGGCAGATTTTGCTCCACTGCTTATGAGATTGCTGCCCAATGCCCTGTGTATTAGGCGTATACCCCCCAGCTGGAAAAACACAAATGGTTTCCAGCCCCAAGTGATCTCAGAGGATTCTTTCATCTCTTCCTTCAAGGCTTTTTCACAGCCCTGGACGTTTCCTCACACATATGTACAAATTAGTGTTCAGCCAAAGGCTCGAGGGTCTCAGATTTCTGGATTTCCCTCTGTGTGTGACTCTCTCCTTCTGGTTCTCTGCCTTACAAGAGGTCTTGGACTCCCTGGATTTTGAACTCTGTCTTTTTAACTCATTGAGACCACCTGGCTCTGGATTCCCCTCCCTGTGTTGCAGGCTGGAAACTGTCTCAGTGATGCTGGGCTGGGGCACGTGTACAGGTCAGCTTATCGCAAATGGAAATACGGTGACTTTGTGGTGGAGAAACCTGGCAGGCTCCAAGTTGACGGGGTGATTAGGGTCAGCCTCCGTAGTGGTGGGACGAACAGATGCCATGTGCCCCTGATGGGCCGCACTAAGAAAACTCAACATCATGTCTGGGGTTTTCCTTCCAAGAAAGCACCGCCTAAGCCTGGTCACGAGGAAATGAGTGTAAGGACCATTCTCTGAAACTGCTTGGACATGAAGGGCAGGGAAGGGCTGAGGATGTCTTCCAGGGTGTAAAGGACTGAAGAGGCAGATGACTAAATGCAGCACATGGTCCTTGCTGAAATCCTGGACCAGAAGGGAATCAAGACCTGTTGGGACAGCTGGAGAATGTGAAGGTCTGTGGGTGGGACCGTCGTTTTGCCTTGATGTCAGTTCCTGACTTGGAGGGCTGTCATGGTCATGTAGGTGAGTGTCCTCACTTTTGAGAAATACACACTAGGATATTTGAGGGATGTGAGCCTCACATCTGCAGTGTATCCTCAAACGATTTAGAAAAAGATGGTGATAATGGTCTGTAGACACACGGACGGAGGGAAAGGCACGCACGGGGGAGTATTAACAGCCAGAGAATCTGAGTGAGGAGGATGGGGGAGTTCTTTGCACTGTTCCTGCAACTTCCCTATAAATTGAGAGGAAGAAGAATCAACAGGGCCCAGGCCGGGGTGTGTAAGTCAAAGGCACAGAGAATCAGCTCCTGAGATACCCCCTGGGCTGGATCCATATTAAATTATCACTGCTGATGTAAAGCCAGCCTTGGCGCAGAAGATAAAAGGGTAAAGTACTTAGAAGTTATCGCTTTATCGCTCCGTTCCTAAGTGCCTACAGCATTCATTATTGATAGAAAAAGTGCATTTGAGACACCCTAGCTAGGTGGGAAGCCTGATGCCCTGTGCTCTAGGCAAGGTGCTGACCGTTCAGTGGCTGGAAAAGTAACAGGTCTGACCACTGTTTCCTGTTTGGTGACTGTCTCCTAGCTCCTCCAGGGAGCAGGATGAAGGACCTTTTATTTCTGCTTAGCAGGGAAAGGAGAGCTGGGCTGCTGGCTGGGTGGGAGGCAGCAGAGGGCAAGGGTCAAGGGCTTGGTGTCCAGACCCAGACTGGACCCCATGGGATCCTGGTCCTGCCACTGACAGCCAAGGGGTCTTGGGCTACTCACTTACCCTCGCTCTGCCTGTTTCCTCCTGGGTAAAATAACCATATCTACTTCATAGAGTGGTTGGGAAGATTAAGCACTGGGTTCTTGTATGGCGCATCGTGGGTGCTGTGCTGGTTTCTGCTGTAATTGTTTCCAGGACTGAGCGCTGCCAGTCAAGCCCCACCTTCTGAGGGAGACCAGGCCATGGGGGTGGGAGGAGGGAGCAAGTTTCTGCCCCCACCCCTGGGTGAGCTGTTTCTCAGGGAAGAGGGGCATTGGTGCTGGTGAGAAGCTTGGATGATGGGCCTTGGTTCACGGGCTGTGCCCACACTGCCACCCATGGTTACCAAGGCCGTGGGTGACTCTCGTCCTGTGGGCAGCCCAGGCAGTGGAGAGACTGGACAAGAGGTCAGGACAACCCAATTCCAGATGTCTGCCACAGCCACGCCATGTGACTGTCCCTTTGTGGGCCTTGGTTTACTCGTTAGTAAAATGACAGTTGGACTAGATCAGAGGTTTGCAAGCCATGAAGCCCTTGGGGTTCCCAGAGGTGCCTCAGGGTACTTCCGGCGGGGGGGAGGGGTGAGGAGGCAGAATGAGCAAGCTCTAGGGCGCCTGCGCAGCTCACCCAGAACCGCTGAGTCAGGATTCTATGCACGGTTTCATTTAGAGAAATGATTCACTACCGTACAAATTTCGATAATCATCAGACCAAGTCCCTCTGAGGTATCGTAATCTAGCGATTCTTGAGTTTTCTCTGTTTCTTCAAGGAACAGTAAATCAGCAAGCTTTCTTGGCTCTGCGGGGCCCACATGTGAGGCTGAGCTCTAGAGGAGCTAGAGGTCTTTGCCTTGCTCTCTGTTTTCAGCCCGGAGCCACACGTGGAAGGACTTAGATATTTGCACACAAACATACACACAGACCACACATCACATACGTATACATACACAAATACATGCACCATGCACACCAAACTCATGTACGCCACACATACCATGAACACTCCACATGTACACACACACCATACATACACATGCACACACAGAACACACACACAGTACACACACACATACACACACACATTTTCACAACACACACTTTGGATGTGCTTTGCTCTTAGAAAACTATCGACAGGCGAGTCCCTCAGGCCCTGCGGCTGAGCCTTGGCTGCACATCGGAACTGCCTGGGGACCTTTGACATCTACAGCTGTCTGGGTCTCACCCTGGACTCTCTGTGTTGGTCATCTGTTATTCTGTCACAAATTGCTCGAAACCGAGGAGCTTAAAGCAACAGGCATATATCATCGACACGCTTTTCAGGAGCGGTTCGGCTGGCGGCTCTGGCGTAGCTTCTCTTTGGAGGTCTGGTGGTGGCTAGGCAGCAGAGAGGCGATCATCAGAGGGGGTGCCTGGGCTGGAGGACCCCTCCCGTGGTGGCTGCTCACATGGCTGAGGGTAGTAGACTGCTTATGTGTCCGCAGAACATAGCAGCTGGCTCTCTGCAAAGTGAGATGAGAGAGAGAGAGAATGAATCCAACCCAGAAGTCACAATCTTCCACAACCTAATCTCAGAAGGACGTGGCATCACTCTGCCATATGCTATATGTTGGTTGCATAGACCATCCCTGGTACAGTATGGGGACAGCCTGCACAGAGGTGTGAACACCTGGAGGCTGGTGAACCACACCCAGTGAATCATACCCAGGAATCCACATTTTTAAAGCGTTATAGGAAATTCCAATTAGCAGCAAGAGTTGAAAACCTGAAGTTCTAGCCGATTAATGCTCAAGGCTTGACCACCTCTTGCGGGTGGCCAGTGCAATGCAG